GTCCACCTTGGCCTGTCCGCCTCGTCCCGCCCTGCGCTTGGGCATGATAGGTCGGACACGGCCACCTTTGTCCTTGGCCACCTGGCGGTCAGGCGCTGCCCGGCGCCTTCCCGGAGGCTTCGAGCTCCGTCCCAGTTTTCCAGCACGGGCCCCACAGAGGCCCTGCGGCTGCCTCCCTCGGGGACAAGGGTCAGCGCGCTCGCCCTGCAGGGCAGCCGAGGAAGGCGTGGCGGGCGCGGCCCGGGGCGGGGCGCGCGAGCCGCCCGGCGGAGGCGCCATACCTGGTTACTGCTGGGTGCTCCGTACAGAGCCTCCGCCAGATCGGCCGCCCGCTTCAACAGCACTTCCTGCAGGCAGGGAGGAGACAGCCGGGGCGGGAGGGCAGCCCCTGGGCGCGGCGGAGCGCCCCAGAGCCCGCTCCTCACCCCCTAGGCCATGGGAAACCCTCACCCCCGCCCCACCGCGCCCTTCTGAGTACCTTGGGTAGCCTCTCGGGGTCTCCGGGGTGTCTGGGAATAACTTTCTGTAGTCTCTGGAATCCGTAGTCAATGGTGGGCTCATTCAGGGCTGGGGAGAGGGGTGGCGTTTGGAGGGCGCCCCCTCCCAGCCAGGTGCAGGACCTAGCCCGCAAACCGCGGGTCCTGGAGCCTCGCTGGAGAGCCCCTCCATCAGCCCGGCCCAAATCTCTTGGGGGGCACACGGGACAGCAAGGGTCTGAGAAGTTTCAATTCCCTTTTCGCTCATTCATTCACCAGTATCTCCAAGCCAGGCCCTTGCCAAGATCCTTTTTGTCCTTTTAAAAAGGAAACTATGTCCATTTTGGCTTCTAGATACCCAGGGCCACGACTGGAGGAAACACTTTGTTTCTGTGTCTGGCCTTACTAGGAACATACAGATTACACAAAAGAAAAAACCATCCTTCCATGTATCACAGTTCAGGCGGACTCAGCGGCACCTGACCCTTACAGGTTTGCTGTGCCCAAGGAGGGAACTGGCAGGCACCCAAGACCCTTGAGGATGCGGCACCTGACCAGGCTTCAAGACTTCCTTCTCTCACTTTTCTTCTTCCACTCCTCCCCCGGCAGCCTGGCCTGGATGTAACCACCAGCCTCAAACCCCCCCCCCCACCTCTCTACCTCCAACTTCAGGTTTTGTGAATTTTCTTTAGTGTTCCCCAAAGCATAAAGCACTCATTGTGGGTCTTTACAATTGCCTAGTCTTCCCACGGGGACCGTTTCCCCATCCCCCTGGCCCCCAGTCACCCCTACTTTCCTAGCTTACTCCAGTTTCACCTACTCCTTCCAGGATGTTTCCCTGGGCAGTCACTATGGAATACTACTGGCCCCGCCCCTACCCCACATATAAGGGGCTCTCTGCTCCCCTTCTCCATCCTCCCCCTGGCCTGCAGAACACTTGTCCAACGGGCTGGGGGTGATGTGGGTGACTTGGGCTGGAGCGGGGCCAGAGGATGCTGGTGGAGCGTGTCCTGCCCAGCAGTCAAATATAGAGCGTGTGTGGGGTTCTTCTGTATCACCCTTACTGAGTGACTTTCACCCCCACATTAACTGCATGCCTTGGCTCCCTGCACAGGGTATGTTCTCTGTGTGCATGCAGAGTGAGGCCTGGAGTAACTTGGGGGAACCAAGAGATCTAGGGGAGGTTTGGGAAACAGAGAGCCTGTTGGGGGACACCTTTGAAATAACCATCCCCACGGATAACTTCTAGTCCCAGGGGAGCGTGAGGGGATGGGGATAGAGAAGCCTGGGATAAGCCTGGAGGCACAGAGAAAGTCCAGCTGGTAAGGACAGATGCAGCCATGGCAGGGGACTAGAGAGCCAGAGGCCAGGGAACAGGACAGAGCAGCACAAGGAGAAAAGGCACGGAAGAGGAGGGTTCTGGGGGTAGGTGGGATGAGGGGAGCAGCCGCTTAGGCAGGTCGGCCTGCAGGGTAGATATCACCAGTGTCCCACAGGGTGGGGCTCCCTCTGCCCACCAGAAGCCTCCCCTTCCCCACCGTTCTCCTTACCTGTGTAGACAAAGCGGCCCGGGGCTCCCTTGCAAAATTGCTTGGATTTGTAGGAGAGGGTCACCTCCACCACCCCGGGGATGTGCCTTGGGGGCGTCTGCACCCGGATGGCATGGGGCGTGATGAGCTGTGAGGGGAGAAAGGAGGCCTGCGGGTTCCACTCGGGAATCCCAGGCCTGCCACTAGGCCCAGAGGAAGACTGGGGGGGCGGCCCACCTCGCTCCACACGAGTACGTTCCCGAACACGACCTGCAGCCCATCGAAGAAGTTGTCTCCGATGACAATGACGGTGGCACCTCCCGTGGTCCAGCCCTCCCCAGGGCTGATGGCCTTGATGCATGGGGTGGCAGCTGGGATGGGAGGCAGGAGAGGAGCCAGGTCAGGGGTTGCGCCAAGGTGGGGCCCCGGGCAGGCTGGGCCCGCGGCATCCTCAGCTGGGCCAGGGGTCCTGACCTTCGGAGGGGTCCAGGCGGCGCGCCCTGCGGCCATGCTTGGAGTTGTTGTGCACAAACATGTTGTCAGACACGGCCAGCACGTGTCCGTCCACGCTCACTGTCGTGGACACCACCACCTGCAGAGAGAGCCGAGGCCAGCCTGGCTGGGGGTGGGGGACTCCAGGAAGGGGAAGCTGCAACTGAGGTCCTGGCTACGTGCTGAAACTCAGGACAGGGGTGAGAGGGGGTTCAGCACCTCAGGGATTGAGCGAGTGGAAGCCAGGGCAGCTGGGTCACATGATACCCCCTAGAAGTACATTCCCTGGGAACTGACCTCTAGAAGCTAGAAAAATCAAGAGCCCCGCCCCCTCCCCCCCCCCAAAAAAGAAACAACAACTCTGGTTACTTGAGCAATGAGCCGCTACTGTTTTTGTGAATATACACCCCAGGCTGTATCTTGAGGCTCTTAGCAAGTGGGAGTGACAGTGTTGATGGGGGGGTGGGGGCAGCATGCCTGAGAACCCATGGGGGAGCCCCCTTGACTGGGAGAGGTGTGCAGGTTGGGGATGTGCTAAGGGCAGCTGCTCTCTGCTTCAGGGTATGCAAATGAGCTGGGTCGTTAATCATGTAAAAATGTCACAATTAGCATCTCCTTAAGTGGGACTCTAATGAAGCCTCCCTTGGCAGCCAGCATAAGTTAAGACCCAAGCTGCCCCGCCCCCAGCTGGCACCAGGCCCTGGAGCAGAGCTGGGCAGCGATTTGCCCTGGGGGGCCTCTTCCAGGGTAGCAGTGCCACCGCCTCCCCCCTGCCCCCCACTATCAGGCAGGGTTGGCTTACAACGGGGAACCCTCCTCCCAGGCCCACCTGGAAGCGGCGCATGTCTCGGGGATTCCCCGCATTCTTTAGGCAATTCTGGTTGCATTTGAGGAAGAACTTGAGGAAGAACCTGAAACAGCACAGCGGAGGCAGTGGGCTCAAGGGTCTGGGGGTTCTGGAAACAGATGAAGATCCAGCTGCCTCCTGCCACGGCTCCTCTGCAGGGTGACCCCCCCCAACACCCCACTGGCTCCCACACACAGACCCCGCATTCCACAGCAAGCTGCCTCATCCAAGTGCCCGATGCAAGTCAAGGAGAACCCTCCAACTGTTCACTGCGTGGAGTTGTTGCGCACAAGCATGCAGTCGGACCCGGGCAGTGTGGTCTGTCCACACTGTCGTGGACACCACCTCCTGCAGGGAGAGCCCGGCGGGGGGGTGGGGGACTCTGGGGAGGGGACTCTGAAGTCCTGGCTAGGTGCTGAAATTCAGGGCAGGGGCGCAGGTCACCCCGAACTTACCTGTCCCACAAAGCGTATGCTCCTCATACCCATACCAAGAATAGTCGCCTCAGTTACTTGTAAGTCACACCCATCACACACACTAGGTAGATTCTCTAAGGAGCATGGACTCACACTGATCTGCAAATACTCCATGGATTTGCACACGCCCCAAAGTAGTGGACCATCACGGAGTGCGTCCGCGTCACACAGCACCACAAAGCATCCGTACAGCGAATACTCAATATAAACATGATAGCCACTGCACAAACTGTGTAGTCATCACACGCGCTATGCCATCTTCACGGAAGCATAACCAACATACGTGCTCCATGCCACCCTTGTGCTCCCCTACACAGCGCAGAAGGCACAGGGTGCCCAGGGAGTGGGCACGCGGATGCACCTGGTATTGCACGTGATCGCCCAAAACCTGGCCATGGCCACTCCGTGGTCATCGCACCTCCCTCCTTCACGCAGAACCTTCCTCCGGCAGCAGCAGCTCCTGCTCAACATGGCAGCCCCGCTGCCCCCCCCCGTCACCTCCCCCAGGCGTACTGTGTATTCCTTCAGCACAGCAAACGCCCAATCCCACAGCGCTGCCCCTGTGCGTACCACAGACACCAGCAGGTACACGGCGAGTGCCTTCCTCTTCATGCACAGCGTGGCAGTGATGAGGCTGCGTCTTAGACCAACACATGAGCACTTACTTGGCCCTCCAGTCCTCGCAGGCTGGGACGGCGGGGCTTTGTCCCTACTGTGCGCCAGTGAGCCGGCTCTGACCCCCGGGCCCTCAGGACCAGAGGAATAGCAACATCGGTCTTAGCAAGACTCTGAGCACAGGGGAGGGGGTGATGCCCTTTACACACTGCAGGAGAGTGGAGACTGATGGCTGCTGGGGCGCCTTCCAGGCCTGTGGGGCTACAGACTTTATTTCTGACCACCGAGGACGCTGACCTGCTGCCTCCTGCACTGTCCTAGCTGTGTTCCTTCTACAGCCCTTTCTCTTTCCAGCCCAGGGAACCTTTGTCCTTTGGGTTCACACCAGCTCCCACTCCCTGTCTAGCCAGCCCGCTCAGGTTTTGGGAAACGCCCCTTCCTGAGAGCCAGGATGGCAGTCTGTGCACCCTCAGAGAGCGTCTGGGCTCTCTGCTGTTGCCAGCAGAGGACTGGAGCAGGAGCAGCACCGGAGGGGAGGCCGAGCCCTCTGTGGGGTGAGGAGGGCCGGTCCCCTTTCCCTTCTCTCTGAGCCTCTGCTGAGCTGTGCGGGGTCCACACCAACCAAGGTGGCGCTGCTGAACTCTCACCCAATGCCCCTCCGGGAGACGCCACCACCAGGCTGCTGCTCCCTGGCACTGCAAGTGCAGACACTGCCTGGCCTGCTGCGCCCCCCTCCCCCAGGGTCAGCCTAGGCTGTAAGAAAAAGGACCCCCAGTTTAGAAGGACGGCAGAAAGATGATGTGGGGGTCTCGAAGTCACCCTGAGACGGAGACGGCCATTTCCGGGGGGGGGGCTTCCAGGTGGCCGGCTTCAGGAGCCCCCCCAGCCCCAAGCTGGAGATGCAGAATCTTGGCCCTGTCCGGCCCTCAGTCAGAATCCCTTGGGGCGGGTCCAGCCACCTGTCTCACAGCCCTGCTCACAGCCCTGCAGGTGACGGTGCAGCTCAGAGCCAGGGGCTAGGCTTTGCTTTGCAGCTGCTCTCTCCACGCACAGCCCTGGGAAGCGGCCCGTCTGGACTGAAATGGGCTGTAAGTGCTGAACACTCATCACATTTCCAAGACTCCGTTTGAAAAAGGTTAAAAACAGCTCAGTAATATTTTATATTGATACATGCTGAAATGATAGTTCGGAGGGAGATCTTAGGTTAGACAAGATCCACGGTCACAGTGCATTTTACTGGGTTTTTGTTGTTGTTCTTTAATAGACAGCTACCAGAAAATAAAAAAAAATAAAATTAAAACTCCACATGTGGTTTGCATTATCTCTGTGCCAGACGCTGCTGGAGAGTTTGGTGCTAACACAACCGCCTATGGATGCTCCAGTCCTCGAGGGCAGAGTAGGTGGCTCAGATTTACTGTCCAGGGCCCGGGTTCTGTAAAGTGAGGTGCTAGTTTGTAGAAAACTGGCAAGATGCAAATGATTTTGTGGGGAGAAGTAGACGATTTGTTAGGTAGAGAAATGAGAAGTCTACAGTTTTATTTTCTTATGGACATAAGCTTTGTGTCTAACTGGCAATCATACTCTGCTACCTGTCACATGTCCCTTCTCCTCCCCCCCCCACCTTTTTTCATATAGGGGTGTGTGTGTCTGTGTGTGTGTGTGCCTGCTTGTGTGTGTGCATCCGTGCATCTGTGTGGGTCTCTGTATGTGTGTGTGTCTATCTGTGTGTGTGTGTGTGTCGGTGGGTGTCAGTGTGTATGTGTCGGTGGGTGTGTGTATCTGTGTGTGTGTCTGTGTGGGTAACAGTGTGTGTGTGTGTCTCTGTGTGTGTGTCTCTGTGTGTATCAGTGTGTGTGTGTGTCTGTGGATGTGTGTATCTGTGTGTGTGTGTCTGTGCGGGTATCAGTGTGTGTGTGTGTGTCTGTGTGGGTAACAGTGTGTGTGTCTGTGTACTCCCCTAGAAAGAAAAGCGCTGGCAAGGTCTGGCTAAATGAGGACAAGGGACAAAGATCTGCTCCTGGGCCTCCTGCCGGGACCTGAGGCAGGGAAGGGTGCACTTTGCTGAGGGCTATGAGCCCTGCTTGTCACCAGGGAAGCACCTATGTCCCGGCCTGGATGAGCCCCAGGGGAGAGTAGGGAGTGAGAAAGGAGGATGGCTGGGAGAGGGCGGAAGTGTTCTTAGCCTCCCTCTAAGCTCCCTGTTGGTTGGGAAGAGAAACTGGGGGAGCTCCATTTTCCTTGTCTGGCTACAGTTTGGAGAGGAAGAAACCAGACAAGCCTGTCCCCAGCCCTGGCTCACCAGAGCACCCTCATAAGACCATGATGGTGAGCTTATCAGGATGTCCCCATGATGGTGAGCTTATCAGGATGTTGGAGCAGCACCTGTGCCCAGTGCCACGCTTAGTGTGGCTGTGAGGGCCTCTGGGGCAAGGTCTCCTCAACTGGGCCTCACAAAGAGAGTGGTATGATGAACTACATTCTAGTGGTATGAACTGTCACTAGAATGTAGAAAACACCAGGGCCTCCCTGGTGGCACAGGGGTTAAAGTCTCAGCACTGGGTCCTCCCTTGTGGGAAACAGGTTAAAGCGTAGCACTGTGAAGCTGTCTACAGCCACTGAAGCACTAGTTTGATCCCCAGTCAGGGAGGTGACCCACATGGCACAGCAGACCTCTCCTGACTGGTCCACTGCTCCCCTCAGCAGTGCGTTTCAATAGATTTGCCTGTTCTGCACCCTATTCTGTCTGATGAATTCTCTCACCCCGTGCAACTCTGGCCTGTACCCCAGTTCTTGTATGCATAATAAAATAAATCTTAAAAAAAAATGTCTCAGCATTATCAAGCTATTATTGCCAGCCACTGTGGCCTGAGCTCAATCCCCGGCCAGGGAGGTGATCCATATGGCACAGCAGACCTCTCCAGTCCACCACTGCTCCCCTCAGCAGTGTATTTCAGTCAATCTGCCTGTTCTGCTCCCCACTCTGTCTCTAATGAATCCTCTCACCACTCCCCCCAACCCTCTCCACCTAGGCCTACACCCTATTTCTTGTATGCATAAGTAAATTAAAAAACATGTTTTAAAAAGATTGTAGAAAACACCACCATTATAAGCATGAGTTACAAATAAAATGCAAAACTACAAAACCTGAAAAAAAATGATTAGGGTCTAATTTTTATCAAATACTTAGCAAGTGCCTGGAACTCTGTTGAGTGCATCACTGCACTCTTGTCTAATCCTCTCCCAGTGCTGCCACCATTCTCACTTCACAGATGAGGAAGCCAAGGAGAAGTAGAGTAAGCTGCAAAGTCATGTAAACGCCCAAGTCAGGATGGGAACTTCAGATTTCATGAGCCAGTAACATTGACAAGAGTGCTGGGGAAGTCCCTCCAACTGGGGTGCTCAGAGTTCCACCCTGCCCCAGCTAATGCAGCCAGCACCCCTTCTAACTCAAAAGCAGCCCCGAGAGAGCTTTGCAGGCACCACGTGAGTGACCACAGGAGGGATTCCTCAAGGGTGCAAGATCATCAGGCTTGCAGAGGAGTCCTGCTCCTACCTCTGGACTTTGGTTGTCGGAACTGTGACTCTCAGTCTGAGATTTGCAGGACTAAAGATCAGTGACACAGGATAAGCCAAGAGTTGGTCATTAGTGAAACTCAGTGAGGTTCATATGTGGTTCATTGTTCCATTCTACGTGCTCAACATTGTCCATAATAAAAAGTTTAAGAAGCGACCAGGTGAAGAGCTGTGACCAGCGTTCACCCCGTTAACAGAGCTGGGTAGCTGGGCATCATGACTCTGAAGCATATGGCTTAGAGGAAAGGTAAAATCACCCTTACACCTACCTTACATTACATCACATCACACCTATCTATATCCCGAACTTAGCCCAGGCTTCCTAATCATTTCTGTAACTACTTTTTATTCCTCCCTGTAAAAAATACTGAAGGTGAAATTAACATGAGCCTTCCTCCTC